AACATGACAAATGATAGTTTTAATTAAAATAGGGCAAATTTCATATCCTTAAATAAAATAAAATAAAAAAAAATGACAAAGTTTATATTTTTAAACAAAAAAAAATGACAAAGTGCATATTCTTAAATAAAAATTGAAAAAAATTGTAATCTTAAATAAAAAAAAATTATTACTTAATTTAAGACCTTAAAAAATTCATATTATGTGATTATTTAATTAATTTTTTCATTTAAAATTTACTAATAATATTATATATATATTTATTTACTATTATAATTATACCCATTTAATATTTTTTATAAATATAATTTTATAATTATACAAGCCATTTTGAATATAATATTATCGTTGAAAAAACTTGTGTTTATTAACCCGGATCTCTAAAAAAACCCGACTATCTGTAACTCACATAATTAACTCATGAATTGACTGATCCGCCCGAAAAGCAGGACTAACCCGCAACGCATATGGAGGCGGCGGACCCAACCCGTTGTCAGGTCAAAGGCCAGAGAGGGTGCCCGGCGATAGGGTTCCGCGGTCCGTTGTTTCGACTTCTTCAGGGGGTTGCTTTGAATACTTTTCTCATGTAAGTTTCTTAGCAACTAGAGAGAAATTCCACTTCTTTTGATCACTTTTCTGTCATTGTCGCTTTCCCTTTCCAAGTTAAAGATTAAACGTGGTTTTGGATTGCAATCAATAATCTTAGAAGTGTATCAAAGAATAATTTTCTTCACATGTGCTGAAGCTTCCTGGAAATACAGCTGTGGGTCCAAAAAGGAAAGCTATTTTGATATTATTAGTTATTTCTAGAAATATGGTTGAGGGGTTAGCTAGATATTTTTTTTAATTTGCTCTTATCGGTAAGCTTAATCTATATCTGAGTTGTAATTCTTTAATATTGAAATTTTCCTTTTTGGGTCTATAAATGTTCCCTTCTTTGAGCTGTTTGTTCATATCATCTCCTCTGCCTTGTTTTCTTATTGACGGATTTCTAGAGATCTTTGAAGGTGAGATTGGTTTTATGAAGTGGAATGTTAATTTTTAATAGCTTGTTTTAATTAATTTTGGGGTTTGAGTTAGAAGGCTATTTTACATATTTAGTTGAGGTTTTTTTTTTTTTTTTTTTCATCTCTACTGATATGCCATGTCTACTGTTTATGTTGCATGCTCCTTGCCTTCATGGAGGTAGCACTAACAAATTATGCATATTTTAATCTTTACCTGAGGACTGTATGTTATTATTATGCCTACTTTAATCTTTACCTGAGGACTGTATGTTGCACGACCCTTACCTTCATCGAGATTACTGTAGCACAAATTATGCAAATTTTTATCTTACTTATTTGTAGTGTCAACTTTCAAGTAAGAAGCTTTCTGTCTGAACTCTGAAGGCTTAAAAAAAAGGCTTTCTGTCTAATTCCCATATGCAAATTAAGAGACTTGGTCTTACTAGACATCTATTGTATATCACTCAGCTAGTTTAGATTTCTAGTTGACAAATTAATACGTCTTCTCTCTTTTGATTCTTTCTCATCACTGAAGTTTATTTTTCCTGAAAATCTCAAGAGTACCGAGAAGATGGGTAATTTGTTCTGTTGTGTGAAAGTTGACCAATCCACTGTAGCCATCAAGGAGAGATTTGGCAAGTTTGAGGATGTTCTTGATCCTGGATGCCATTGCCTACCTTGGTTCCTTGGAAGTCAGGTTGCTGGACACCTGTCATTAAGGTTGCAGCAGCTAGATGTGCGTTGTGAGACAAAGACTAAGGTCTGTTCCTATCACTTCTTATCTGTTTCTAATCCCTGCCCTTGTATTTCCCCTTAGTTGCTTTTCTTTTGCTTGATCTTTGTTTTAGGCTTCTTGTTTCTGTGTATGTTTTTGAATATCTTTTGTGGATCTTATTTGTTCTTTCCTCTATCCTTGGTCCATTTTTTTCCTTTTACATTAACAACGAAAGCACACATCAGCAGTCTCATGTTTTTGTTTCCTTGTCTGTTAACGTTCAATTGTTTTACGGTATGTTAATATAGTCTGCCTGAAACTAACCAATCTTAATGGTCTTTTTATCAGGATAATGTATTTGTCAATGTTGTTGCATCAATTCAATACTGTGCCTTGGCTAATAAGGCAAATGATGCTTTCTACAAACTTACCAACACAAGGACACAAATTCAGGCCTATGTTTTTGATGGTATGAATAGATATCTTCTTATTTTGATATCATGGTTCATTCACTCAGACATGTTATCACTAAACCATAAGGCTGTGCTTGTGCGCAACTGCACAAGCTCAGATACATGGCACATATTGTAATATTAATCCATTTTTGCAGTCAATGACATGGTCTGACTTTCTTTATTTTATCTTTAAGTCATCAGAGCAAGCGTTCCTAAGCTGAATTTGGATGATGTTTTTGAGCAAAAGAATGACATTGCTAAAGCAGTTGAAGAGGAACTTGAGAAGGTGATGAACTTGATTAAACACATATCTATATGTAGTAAGCTTTCTTAAGTAGCACTAGCATTATGAAGGTTTGGTGTGAAGTATCCATTTTCCTTGATTTCTCACAGGCCATGTCTGCTTATGGATTTGAGATTGTTCAAACTCTAATTGTTGATATAGAACCAGATGAGCGTGTGAAGCGAGCAATGAATGAAATTAATGCTGGTAACTTAATACCAAACTCTTCTAAGTATCCTCTTGTTTATGATATGTTGGCTGTTTTACATTCACCTTTGTTATGCATGTTTCTAGCTAAGAGAGCTTACAGCACTTGATTTCAGGAGCATTATGTACCTAAAAAATTGATTTGGAGATCATTTCCAAAATAACTTTCTTTTATATGGAAATAAACCAGTATTAGAAAACAGATTGCTCTAGACCATACATTCACCAATTGGGAGATCAGATTTTGTTTGAGCAAATAAATTATAGTTACTTCGGTGATTTCAACTGTGTTAGGAGATCATATTATGTTTTTTAGGGAAAATATTCGGTCTTTGCTTATAACTTTACAATTTGAAAATAATCTTTCCTTTTTGTTTCATATTGTATTGTTATATATCATTTAACCTTTTGTTGTATATAATTTGTCAATTTTGTACATTTAGCTGCAAGGCTGAGGGTGGCAGCTAATGAAAAGGCAGAGGCAGAGAAAATTTTGCAAATTAAACGAGCTGAAGGTGAGGCTGAGGCTAAATATCTGTCAGGGCTGGGTATAGCTCGCCAAAGACAAGCAATTGTTGATGGCCTGCGAGATAGTGTCCTGGGATTCTCTGTTAATGTTCCAGGCACCACTGCAAAGGATGTGATGGACATGGTCCTGGTGACACAGTACTTTGACACAATGAAGGAAATTGGTGCTGCCTCTAAATCCTCTGCCGTGTTCATCCCTCATGGACCAGGAGCTGTTCGTGATGTAGCTGCTCAGATTCGTGATGGACTTCTACAAGCTTCTTCACGCCAGGAGTTATAAAGATTCTACCAGGTTTGCTTGAAATAAGCACTATGCATAATAAGCACTATGCATTTTGATGTTTGCCTGCCACAGATCTGCATCCTTTCATGTGCATGTGTGCGTATTACAATGATTTTCTTCTATTTTGCTGTTCTTGGGTGTTCATTTTGTTTGTGATGAATTTAAGGTATATATTAAGGAGTAGAAATGTGTTTACCTTCCTGAAATATGGATTATTCACCCCAAAATCGACTTGAGCACTGGCAAATTCTCTGTAACCATAACATTATATGGAAATCATGGATACATAAGACAGGGAATTTATTGAATTTCTCTAACCATTTAATAGTCAAGTACAAAACTGGGTTTCTTTATTCACAAGAAACACTCCATAAATGACAATATACAAAACTCAGTCTTTTGAATATGAAGCTTCTGCAAATCTCAAGCACTTGGGTTTGTTGTGGCAGATTTCTCAGCTTCATCAAGGAGTTTCAGTAGTTCTTCCTTCTTTAGAGCCAAACCTTGCATCTTGGACTCAAGCTTTTCTAGCTTAGCTCTTAGTTTTGTCGGGTCTTTCTTGTCTTCAGGACTCTTCTTCTTCTTCTTCTCCTCCTTTCCACCACCTTGTGTGTCCGCCTTATCTTCACATTCCTTGTCTTTCTTCTTCTTTTCTTTTGCTTTCTTTCCATTTTCATCCTCCTCGTTGTCTCGGTCCTCGTACTTCTCTTTCTTTTCATGCTTCTTTTCATCTTCATGTTTATCTACTGTCTTTCCCATAGCGCAGACAGCTGCCAAGTTTGACGTTCCTCTGTAGAGAAAAAGAAAACATTAATTCTGATTAGAAGACTCTAAAATTCAAAACATTCAAAATGTTCATGAAATGGAACGAGAGACCTTGAATCTCAATCAATTTTCGATTTTCGGTTCCGGGATTTTGATTTCTACCCTACATGTACATATGAATTCAGGACAGGCTTGATTTTCATTACTGTGACTCCTCCCTTTTATAGTCTGTTACCATCTCCCTAATTTAGGCATTGTAATGATAATCCACAAAGTTAATGGGTACCCTGCATTGCCTCATCTTTCCCCGAGAATTACTAATACCCACAAATAGAAGTAATGTATTTTCCAAATTCAGAGGTCACGCTAATTTTGTCTGTACCATTCCAAATTCTATGTATGTTCTTGAGGGGACTTAATTGTAGCATTTCAACTAAATTACTTGGACTACATTGATCTAAAATTTCAAATTTATTTGCCTCTCAAGTAGCTCCACCCACATATTGGCCCACAAAGTCAAATTCATGGAAAATCGTCTGGAAAAGCTGGTGTGAACTGCATGCCAACCATACTCCTTGACTTGGGATTCAATTGCCCCCACAAAAAATATAAAAATGAAATCTAGAGATCATCCATGAAAAGAGATTGATTGATGAACACAGATGAAGACAGAGTGGAAGAAGCAGTAAAGGATGTGAAAGCAGTTTTATAATGTTGTAAAGCAATGTCAATGTTTATGCTTTTGGTGACATTAGGGTTACAGAAAATCTCTCCCCTTTTCAATCCCAAGTACTCAATTTCCTTTCCCCACCCCCAAATTGTCTTTCCCTCCACTTCCCTTTCTCTTATTCCAAGTTCTCAGTCAAACAATTGCAATACAAAAATCATTAAAAAGATAGTACTAATACTATGATAATGTCTCACCTCTTCCCCCTTTCCCCCTTTCCCATCCTTACAATCTAAAAATTTTACTAGTTATATAATGAATCTACTCTGCTTTTCAAACTCTACATTAACCGGTCTGACAAGCTTGGAAGCCGACGAAAAAAGTTTAGGCTTGCCGGGGGCATGGGGTCTCTGAACATGGGGTGTCTAAGATAGTAAAATCCTAGTGCCACTGCAACCATTTTTGGTGGCACCACATAAAGGACCAAAGTTATGGCTAGGCACCAACCAATGAACAATTTTGTGGCTCTTGGGTCCCTCCAGCTCACCAAGGCTTGGACCCTCTCTCCTTGGGTTGCAAAATCGCCCAAAACGGTTTGAACCCTTGCAGCCAACATCCGTAGTCTGTCATATCGGGCTCGAATTATATCCGGCGGGTTTGAACTGGGTATTGAATCAAATTCCTCGTCGAGTTCATCCAGGTCGACTGTCTCTGCTTGTGATAGCCGTGTATCCATTCCTGCTGGAATCTTGGGTCTGAACCGGTAATACCACACTCCAATCAACACGACGTATAAAAATCCGGTGGGTACAATCAAATCCGGATACCAAACAAGCACTAGATAAAGCACATGGACTAACACTGTAGTAACCGGATTCCTCCACCGCCGAATATCATCTAACCATTTCGCCAACCCGACCGCCCATGCCAGAACCGCAACGATCCGAAACCAATTCGCTTTACTCTTTCGCATGCTCCAACTGTGAGAATCAGCATCCAACATGTACCGCACCACTTCCGGCCCCAACGGCGGCTCCGACCTTTCCAGCCACTTCGCCACCATCATTGTGGCGGCTCCCCGCAATGCCTCTTGTTGGGCCACCCCTAACGGTCGGAGATAATGCATTCTTGGGAGCAAAGGCTGACTGTAGACCGAGCAAGTATCCGGCAACAAAGACGGGCAGGCGAACCGAACCGCTAGCTCGATCTCTCCCATTTTCTTCAGCCCGCTTCTGTTTAGAACCAAAAGCGGGTATGAATTTGTATAAACCTTGTTGCTCTCCAGCGTAGATACGCGGATACGTACTTTTCCTATATGATGGTCTCGTTTGTCGTCTGACATGTCAGCAAACATACGCCAGTTGTCAAAGACTCCAACAGTCAGAACAGTGCAGGGGTCGTAGACCTGCCACGTGTACTGCTCGTTCCAACGTGGATCAAAGCTGTCAGTGATGGTCCTGGTGCGGACCCACTTTTTACCGTATTTTGCGACACAGTATGCATCTGTGGACCCCTTTCCTCCGCATTTGCTTTTCATCGGAAGTAACCCGCGAGCGCCGAGGATTCCCAGCTCCAAAATCCCGATGGCCGGCTTCCAGAGCTGCTTTGCAGTGGGCCTGAAGTCGCTGCACACGTGCGCCGCCTCGTCCAGCACGTGATATCCGCCTTCCAAGCAGAGACGCAGGTGGATTCTACCGCAATAGGGTGGACCACGGCCTCCTCCATCGGCGCAGGCGCCACCGCAACCTCCGTCCAATGCGAACCATTTGGACGCTACGTAGTGTTCATCTATCCGTTGCACAATGGAGTTCACGGGAATCATGATATGGCCGAGGATATTTGTACTCTTGCCTGTCCGGTCCTCCACGAGCAGAATCAGAGTATCTTCTAGAAGTTCGCCGGCGACGAAGATCAGGTCTTCGTTCCAGTGAAATGAGGCGCTGTGATTGTTCATCATTCCTCTCCTCGTCCGTAAAGATTGAAACCCTAGCTGCGCTTTCACGCGAATCTCGGGAGCCGTCAATGGCGGAAGATTCGGGGCAATGTGAATGTCTTGAGCCTCAATAACCGTCACTCTCAAATACCATAGCTTCGGCGATTGATACACTTTTGAGCGCGTATGCGCCACATACGGCGCATCGGAGCACCAGGCCTCAGGGAATGCTTCGTCTGCTTGCGTACCGATCCAAACAGAAAGCTGCAGATCACCGGTGATTCTGCAGGAAGGCGGATAGGCGCCGGCCTCGAGTCGGTACCATTGTGGCGCCAGGGGGCTATCCGGTGGATCCCGCACTGGAACATCGGACAGATCAAAACAAACGCCACCGAGAAAATTCTCCGATGGAAAGTCCCAAACAGAGATCTCCACAGTCGGACTTGCTGAGTCAGGCTTGTTGTAACTCAGCGCGAAAACCTGATGCCATTCTGGTGAGTCGTTAGGCTGGCCGGGTGGGTGACTCGCCGGATTTGACCTCATCGAGTGGGTTGATGTGCGGATCTTCAAGAACGGGCTCTCATTGGGCGCCAATCCACGGGCCTTCTCTATTCTGATGAACAAGTATTGCATCGGCTCCACTAAACCGTAATGATGAATCCTATCCGTGGGGGTTTCTCCGCCGATTTTTCCACTAATTACTCTCGGCGAATAATCTCCGTTTGGTTTCTTCAAAATCCTGACTCTCTCAGTTCTGCTGCCCTGCATTTTCCTCACCTCTGGCAGATACTGCACTTCAGGAGGTGGAATCATTGCCGCTGATAGATGCGGGACCTCCATTGGATACGTTGGAAGTGGGTCTGCCTGAACATCAACAACAGGAGGCGGCGATTTCTCGATTACCACAACCGGCGGTGAATGGAAGCTTTCTGGAGGAAAACTTTCAGGCTGAAAATGGCCCTGACAATGAGGAAACTCCGGGTATCCAACAGGTGTCTCGAAAACCTGACCTTCCTTCACCACCACAACTGCCGGAGGCTTCTGCACCTCTGGTTGCGGCAGCTGTTGCTGCGGTTCCTCGGTCTGTGGCGGCGGAGGTTGCTCCTCAATTAACTCATCATAGTAGTAAATCTTGAGCCCAATCTCACCCCTAATCCAACTAAACACGCTCTTCTTCTCCAGAGGCAAGTAAACCAGCCCTTCACTTCCCTTCTTCGCAAACTGGCTCCCATAAATCTTGATCCTCCCCAAGAAATGATTCTTCCGGCCGCTGCCATTCCCAAACCTCTTATCATTATAAACCTCTAATTCAAGCTCCTCAAGATCCAAATTCTCCGGGTCCGACACAACAAACTCCAGTGCCTCATTCCACACCGGATTCAGGTCCTTGCACTTCGTAGAGGTCCGCTTTCTTTGCCCGTCGAAATCCACGATAACGTAAGCACTGGAGCTTCCCTGACCATCCTTGGGCAAAAGGTCTCGCGCTTCAACGACTTCCACTATCAGCTTCCTGATGGTCGTCGGCGGAGGCGGTACCTGATTAGACGGCGTCGTCGTCGTCATCCTTTCATTTTCTCGTTTTCACAGTGAAGAAGAAAGGATTGAGTGGAGAAAAAGCAAGAAAGAAGGAAAGACTTGTTTTGGATTCTTTGGGCAGAGAGCCGAAAGAAGGAAACAGAAGCCGTTGATAGCGGGGAAGAATAGAGAGGGGATGTTTTGGGTTTAGCTTTTCGAGGGAATGGCCTTTTGAGTAAGTGCTTTCTTTTCTTTACCATATATCTAATTATTATTATCTTTAATTTTGCATAAAATTAATTTTATTTCTTTTTTAGATTTTGGGGGGCGGGAGGAGGGCCAGAGAGAGAAAGGAGAATGTATTGCGTGGGGTCGGAGAGGTGCTAGTTGGTGGGCAAATGAGATTCCATTCCCTCTCGCGAAGGTTTTTGGTGGCCACTTTTCCGGCTTCCTTCCTCTTTTTATGGTTCGTTATCCACCACGTAATTTTTTTTTTTGAACATGTTATCCACCACGTATTCTTTTATTAATTTTAAGAATATGATATTTTACTGTTGAGATTGCATTAAATTTGTAAAATATTAGTATATTTTTTTTATTAAATAAGGAGTTATATATATGTAATAAAATAGATAATAAAAAATTATTTTTTTATATATTTTAAAATATTT